CACCCCCACACATGCCTGGCGTGAGTTTAAGCCACCCGGTCTGGGACTCGAACCACGGTCAACTACGTAGGAGTCCAACGACATAGCCATTACAGTTACTGCATTACACTAACTGCAGGTCCCAAAAATGATTTATTTTTTAAAAAGTTATTCATTCGTTTATTTTTAGTTTGACCAGAGAGAGACACAGAATGAGAAAGAGGGGACGTGAGAAAGCAAACCGCCAGGTCCAGGACTTGAACCATCGTCAGCCATGTGGGTGTGTCCAGCACCTTAACCACCACGCCACCTGCTGGTCCCGTGTGCGGTGGACATTCAAGTTGTGCTCCAATTTGGCTTCTTCAAACACGGCCGTGCTCTGTAAATACACAATTCAGGCTTATCTGGAGCGGAAATGCACACTAGCGGATCGGCTGGGTAAACAGTGTGTGCGTTTTCCTCCTAGAGCTGCGACAGCTGACGCCCATCAGCAACCTGCCAGAGAGCCTGGTCCCCCCTCACGCACTGGCACACACAGCCATCGCGTCTTTGCCAGACAGGTGAGAAACGGTGTGAGGCTGCGTCAGCTTGGCTGGGCTGGGTGACGTTTCCCAGAATTCCCCTGCCGGCCTGTTTTTGATTAGAACAAGCCACAAGAGAGATCCCATGTAAGATTGGGGGTGCAGAAAGGACGTGCCAGTCATTTTCCTGATTCACGCCGGTGGCTGCTTATCTGCCCAACGGCTCTCTAGCCCAGGCAGGGTCTGCGCCTCACCTGTCCTGCCTTGTCCTGCCTTCCCCAGCACTGGCTTCGGGTCAGGTGTATGACAGAAGGTTCCCAACTTCTGCAGGATCCCTTATCACTGTCAAAAGACAAAGCTACAATTTAAAAAGGTTGTTTTTTTTGTTTGTTTTTTGGGTTTTTTTTGACAGGTTTTTGCCATAGGGCACGTGCACTCGCAAGAGACAGAGACAGAGAGAGACAGAAAGCGAGAAATCACCCCCCAGGGGGGATGGCCACGCCGCAATCCCTTCTCTTCCATTCTCCCCTCGGGATCTTGGGCACGCACGCACACGCGCCCGGTGTGAGTTTAAGCCACCTGGTCTGGGACTCGAACCGCAGTTGACTACATGGTAGTCCAGCGATATAGCCATTACGCTAACTGCTGGTCCCTTAAAGGTTTGTTTTTTTAAGTTGATTTATTCTGTTAGGTGTTTGTTTTTCTTTTTCTTTCTTTCTTTCTTTTTTTTTTTTTTTGCATTCTTGCATTTTTGCGTTTTTGTTTGCTATAGGACGTGTGAATGTGAGACAGGAAGTGAGACGTCACCCCCTGGAAGGATGGCCGTTTGCAATCCCCTTTCCTCCATTCTCCTCTCAGGACTCAGGGCACACATGCACAAGTACCCAGGGTGATTTTCTTCTTCTTTTATATTTTTTAGAGTGAGATTTTTGCTATAGGGCATGTGCACTCACCAGAGAGACAGAGAGACAGAAAGCAAGAAATCTCCACCACCCCCACCCTGGGGCAGAGGGGATGGCCACACCACAATCCTTTATCCTCCATTCTCCTCTCGGGATCTTGGACACACATGCACACACTCCCGGCGTGAGTTTCAAGCTGGAACTCGAACCATGATCAACTACGTGGGAGTCCATCGACATAACCACTATGCCATCTGCTGGTCCCATCCAGTTTGAATTTCAAGCTGCCAGGTCTGGGACTTGAACCAAGCTGTTGGTCAGATGGGATCCAGCTGCTTTAACCACCATGCTGAAGTAGGAGAGAGTAAGGCCCAAGATGGAGTCACAGTGGCTCTTTCCTTCTTTCTTTTTTTCTTTTTTTTTGGAGAGGTTTTTGCTATAGGGCACGTGCACTCGCCAGACAGAGAGAGACAGAGAGACAGAAAGCAAGAAATCACCCCCCAGGGGGGATGGTCACGCCGCAATCCCTTCTCCTCCATTCTCCTCTCGGGATCTTGGGCACGCACGCACACGCGCCCGGCGTGAGTTT